GGAAATAGTGTACAGAAAATTAAGCTCGGGCACTCACTAGAAGCCAAAAAGCCTAAGCTGAGGCTATTCTTCTTTGGATATATCATGAAACAACACGACTAATTAGTAAATATGATAATATAACAGTTAAAGGGTGTCAATTTTTGTTTCCAAAATAAATGTATTTTTATATCTGCCAAAACATTTATGATAACTAACCCACCCCCACACAACAAGAACAACAAGCCAGTAAGGTGAGCCAGCCTAATTTTAGACAGCAGGTCAAAATACAACAAAGAACTATTTAAAATAATTGGACAAAATTCTAATACATGGTTCTTGAAAAGTAGATAGCAATTTCTTGTAGGAGGGAAACAGAAGGTATATCAAACCACCTGCTGAACTACAGAAGTGCACATTATTCTTTATAGAGAGAGAATAAAAGATTTTGGCTGCTTTTCAAGTGCTTAACCCTTCACTGCAAATCAAAATCTCAGACAAACAAATTAAATTCCAGACAAAAACTCCACCTGTAATAAATTGATGATCTGCAAATGGAAGGAGAAACACACACTGTGAATCTGCTTTGGTGTGCCAATAATCCCACTTATGAGCAAATGTATCTGCTAAGGCAAATGAAACCCAGTTTGGCTGAAAATGTAGCACCCTGCAATCCTAGATTTAAGATCCACAGTTGAAAGGTGCTACTATAATTCTTTAGGAGGCACAATAGCAAGCAGGCAGAAAACCAAGGCAATCAGGGGAAATATGGTAGGGAAAATTCTTTCAGTACAAACAAAGAACATGAGAGAGGTCATCACTTTGTAAAGTGGTCTCTCCACATTCGCTGGGTATAGGGATTAAGGACCTCCATGAATGTGTAAAAACCACAAATAAAAAAGCCACTGAGACAGCAGCTCACTAGGAATTTCCAGGTTCTGCAGTGCAACTTTATGGTCAACATCTGCCAGAAGTTGATCACAGAATCATACTGAGAAATCTACAAATGCCTAGAGAGGTGTTTTCTTTAGGACTTTCTCTAGTTTCTCCAGCACAACTCTATGGTTAACATATGGCAGAGTTGTGCTGGAGGAACTAGGGATTCCTAGAGAGAACATATTAATCAAATCTACCAATAATCAAATCTGCAAAAATCAAAGCTGCAAATGTGGAGGGTCAACTGTAGTATATTTTCACACCTACGAATATTATGATGAGAAAATATACCTCATTCCTTTCCCATTAATAAAGGAAAATAAGTATAGAACTGAAGATTCTGAAATTTTTGCTGCTGCTGTAGTAATATTTGCTGCTGCTGTACATGTAATAATAATAATAATAATAAATTTTATTTCTATACCGCCCGGTGGCAAGCCAAGATGGGTTTGATGATACCTCCTATATCTTACAGTGAAAATACAGGTCAAGTCTCCCTTATCTGGAATTCCAAAATCTGAAATACTCCGAAATTGTTCACATGGGTGGCTGAGATAGTGACACCTTTGCTTTCTGATGGTTCACTGCACACAAATTTGGTTTTGTGTACAACATTATTAAACATATTGTGTATAAAATTACCTTCAGGCTATGTGTATAAGGTGTATATAAAACAAATGAATTTCATTTTTACACTTCCAAGGTAGCTTGTTTTGTATATGCAAATAATTCAAAATTGGAAAAAGTCCAAAATCCAAAACACTTCTGTTTTCAAGCATTTTGGATAATGGAGACTCAGTTTTAATGCTGCATTGCATGCAGACTTCAGCAACAGCCACAACATCAGCAAGTACATATCTTCTTATTTTCATGTAGGATGTCCCACATGATGATGTGGGGAAAAAAGAGGACAGGATAAGACCTTAAAGATGTTAACACAAATGCTTCCTGTTAAAAATGTCACTCTCTCTCTCTCTCTCTCTCTCTCTCTCTCTCTCTCTCTATATATATATATATATAGTTTTGCTTAAATCAA